GGTACGTCGCTCTCCTCTCCTCCCTTTCTTCTTCCCCCCTTTCTCCTTCTCCTCCTCCTCCCCATTCTCTGCCACCACCACGTCCTCCCCATTCTCCGCCACTGCTCTCACTCCTGCTCCTCGATTCCCCTCCTCATCTTCCCCCCCCCATTCCTCCACCACCACCTTTTCCTCTTCCTCCAGTTCTCTGCAAACCTCTCTCCCTTCTGCTTCCCCATCGCCCTCCTCCTTCCCCCCATTCCTCTATCATCACCTTTTCCGCCTCCACCCATTCCCCATTCTCATTGGCCACCTCCACCTCCTCTGCAACGTACTTCTGCTGCCCCTCCTGCAACTTCTCCTCCCCAGGCTCGCACCATGTCCTCTCGGTTCTGCTCCCCCATCCTCCCCCTCCTCCTTTGCCACCAGTCGTCCTCCTCCCCAATCTCTGCCAACGCTCTCCCTCCTAACATCACCCCCCTCCTCCCCTCCCTTCCTCGACCACCACCTTTTCCTTGCCACTGCCGCTCCCTCCTGCTCCCCCATCCCCCTCCTCCTCCTGCTCCACGTTCCTCCATCACCACCTTGTCTTATGTAGACTGACTCGTGACTAAGCCGCCCAGAAAAAAAAAAAAACGACAGCGCCAAAGTTAGGCACAACTTTGCCCTTGGCACAACCAGACGGTACCGTGTGGCTGGATGGTATCATGTGGCGTGGGTGATACTATGTGGACTGCGAGGTATCATGCGGACTAAACATACCATGTGGGGTGGGTCATAGTATGCAGACTGGATGGTACTAACACACACAGCCATAAGCGTACACACACACACACACACACACACACACACACACACACACACACACACACACACACACACACACACACACAAAACACACACACACAGGGCAAGATTCAGAAGAAAGGAAAATAGTCACATGCCCGAAAAAGCATCAGAGGGGCATGGCACAGCACCCAAAAACCGACCGAAGGAGAATGAGCAAAAACAATGCAGCATAAGACTGATACACACACTCGATGAGACTCTGAACGAATGCACACTCACTCATGTCCAGAAATCATCCACAGATGAAAGGAGGGAGGAGAGACGAAATGCGAGAAGAGATGGAGAGTCGTCCACCAAACTAGCGTCGTCAATATATAATCTCCAAAAATAGCCCCCAATGTCTCTCTCCAGACAATGTCAGAGTCCGGGCAAACACCCAATGTCACGAAGTCCCAACTCTCGTAACCTCTCTCTCTCTCTCTCATAAAAGAAGAAGCTTCAGAGTGAGGGAGGAAGGAGTAATGGATGAGGGAGAGAAGAAGAAGAAGAGTCCTCTCCCTGTATCCCTGTGACGGAGCCAGATGCTGACCGGCGTAGGGGTGTCACCTTGGAGCTGTGTACACAGGTGGAAGACACCCTAAGACGAACAGGAGATATGACGCCAGGTAAGTCTGCAGGTAAGTCCTATCTGGCCTCCACCCTCGCATCCTCTAACTACTCACCCACCTCCTCTACCTCGAACAGCGCCGTGCAGCAGCGTATTGACCTCAACCTCCTAATGCTGCATACCAGGAATGAGGCCAGTCCAGCTATGTATAGCGCTGGACCTACTACTCGTGGCGTCCGCCTGGATCCTTAGTCTGATCAGAGTACGGATGAACAATCCAGGATGCAGGCCTGAAACCTGGTCCTGAAACGTTTGCTGGGCCTACCGGTAACATGGTCCAGCTAAGAAGGGAATGCACCTGGTCCACAAAGTCGGTGCTGGGCCTGAATCGACCCTGAATCCTCTACCTGGGTACTACCGGTCTGGACCTAGGACTGAAATGACATGTCCAGACCGGACAAGACCTGGACTCGGACAAACAGACGAAATCTGGACTGCGAACAGGCAAAAGTACGAGAACGAACAAAAGGAAACTCAGAAAATGCAGACAGCCTGAAAACTTGAACAAATAACCGCAAAACTAGAACAGACACCCTATCCTAATATGGTGCCCAAGGAGGCCCGTGTGAGATGCGTGCATACCACAAAAGGCCAGGCCCCTTCGAGCCCACAGCCAGAGTTCAACCTCGCTGTGAAAAACCACACTCGAGAGTCACATAAGGGTAAGGTGATCCAGACCGGTACCCTTGTACAACGAAATAAGGCTCATCCCTTTGTTCATGCATCACCCATGAGCACAAAAGGATGGAAGGCCATTCACAGGAAATGTGGCCCTAAGTAAATCAACAGACTGGCATGTTACTCTACATTTTTCCAGCTTTTATGTTCACGATTTAACAAGGTACCCTGGTCTGGAAACGGTTATTTACCAAAACCGGGTGCGGGTCCTCTTCAGCAAGTGCGGGAGGTTCTTTCGATTCAAAACTTGGCAATTGCCGATAAGATGGATAGGCGAGACTATTTCGACAGAGGGCTGCAGGGTCACTTGCATCTGCTCTTCAGCAAATGACTTGGAAACCTGCTCAGCTCTGGAGGTCCGAGTTCACTTCCAGATGCTTCACCGAGTCGAACCAGGCACAGTTTTTACTTCACTTGGACCTTCGGGCAGCTCACAGGGGTGCCACCAGCAGGGAGACGGTATTGACGCAGTACCTTGTCCTTTCGATTGGCGTCTGACAGCATGCCCTCCCTCCTGCTTACCCTCATCTCTTTGATCGCACCCCCTTTCCTGCTGCTGCTCACTAAGCTTCCACTATACTGCCTGACGCTGCTTCCCAACCTGTTCCTTGCCCTTGGGTTAGTAAGGTTGTGCCAGTCAGAAGCTGCTGCACTCGGACCTTTTTCCCGCTAATTGCATTGTACATCAGGCTAGCCATCTGCTACACTGCGCTCTGTGATGCCCTTTAATAGGATAGGGAAGACATGGATGGGCATAGCAAACACATGCACAGCTCTGAGCACTCGGTTGTTAAGATTTGCATATAAGTGAGAAAAACTTTTGTGATTCAGGAAAGGTAGCAGGTTTAGAAAGTTTTCTGTACCTTCCGTCGCATCTTCCTCAACATGGCGGCAACCTCCTCAGGGTAATCTGTCACACCAATCCAATTACCATTGAGGAAAACCTTGGTCTTCGTCCCAAAACCATGTACATCCTGCAAGGACAAATGAAGAGATGATGACAGAATGCCAACAAAGGCCACTTTTAATACAGGAAACAAATGCCAAGAGGCTACACCAAGTCCAGAACATGGTAAGACAACCAAGACCCTAGGAAGTCACGCCCTGGGGGGGGGGCGCTGCCACATATTGTACCCAGGCGTGTAGAAAAAACCTTTTTCTTTTTGTCTTTTTGGCACTGAGACCTTTTGCACTCACCAAGAGGAGCTGAGATCCGGGATCTTTTTTTTGTTTTATGGTGTCCGAACTTGTCCGTTCAAGGGGCAGGCAGGGGGGCGGGGGGGAGGGAGGTTATACATGGGCTCTAAAGGGGCCCTGTCCCGGGCATCTGAATTTTTTTTTTAGAGAGGCTCAATCAGATTCTGAACTTGGCCGGGGCCATGAACTGGTTTAGGGGGGTGCCTTAGTCTGATTTTGTTATTCTGTATTTTCTCTCCGATTCAGCGAGGAATTCTGACATGCACCACTTGCTGGAGCGGGCACACGGAAAAATTTCCTACCTAAAGTTAAAAGTTACTAAAGATTTTACCAAAATGATGGAATCTAACCTCAATGGAAAAATGCCGAAAAGATAGGAAAACCTTGGTCTTTATCCCCAACACACCTATCTACAACACAATAATAAAAGAAGAGAGAATGATAGAATCCCAACATTTCAAAGTGCTTAACCTTCAAAGTTCAAATAGGCTACTTTTTAGAGAAGAAAGTACTAGAAACAAATGTAAGGATGCGAAAACAAATCTAAGTTTACTAAATGCTCAAATATAACCTGAATGGATGAGAAGTCCAGATGTCCATTCAGGGGACCACGATTCAAAATGAACACAATGTAAAATTCCAATGTACCTGGCTGGCACAGGGCAAACTGGCAATGGTACATGGAATCAGCAATAGCGAGCCTAAAACAGACCAGCCAACTGCAAGGAACCATAAATGGGAACATGGAATTTTCAGCAGCAAAAGACTCACGCAGAACCAGCATGCGTAAACAAGTCAAAGTAGAATTACAAAGCCAAAAGCACACCAAATGAGCACACCCTAACACCAAAGTCTGTTGATAAAGAAAGCCCGACTACTCACCACCTCTCATCAATACAACAACAATGTAGTAGTTCTCCAATGATTTGTTCTCTCTCTCTCTCTCTCTCTCTCTCTCTCTCTCTCTCTCTCTCTCTCTCTCTCTCTCTCTCTCTCT